AAAATCCGCTTTTTCAGACACCCTTTAATGTAAACCTTCGACGTCATTGTGTGAGATGTGATGAAAACCTTGGTTTTAAGGCCACAACTGCAGATTCCTTGCCAAATCATTAGTTTCTGAGCAAACTTATCAGCAAAAACAAATTTATACCTGGAAGGGACATCCCCACGATCAGTTGCCAGGTAAAATTTTCGTCCGGGGATTAGTTTATAATCCATTTTGACATATGTTTCGTCATCCATATATATATAGCCATCAAATTTCGTCAAAACTCGTTCGTATAGTAATCGTGCTCGCTTTTTGGCCACTAAATTTTGATTCAGGGAGCGATTCGGATGTTTACTGGCACAAAAAGACTTATATCCTTCTCTTGAAAGGATGTTACGCATGGTGGAAAAGTTGGAATCGTATTTCTTTGCCAAATCACGTATGGAAACACCTGGATTGCTTTTCACGTACCTCAACACCTTTCTCCTCAGCTCTTTGTCCCTAGTGCCACTTTTATGATAGATGCGCTATGCTCTATCCACACTCAGAGTATCCTTGTAACGTTTGATTACAAGACTCACCGTTGACTTTGGGAATTTTAACACTTTTGCTATTTTTGAGGCAGACCACGAAGGGTTCTCTAAACAGCAAAAAATAAATTTTAATATTACATCCAAGAGGATGCACTTCAGTCATGTCGAAAATCTCATGTAATTTTTATGGCAACACAAATAAACAAATGCAGTAAAAGCAACGTAATGTAAGTTCATACACTGTATTAATGATAATTTTGCCTTTTTTCGCAAGTAATATTATACCATATTTTCGACACGATTGAAGTGCATCCACTTTGATGTGATATTAAAATTATTTTTTTGTTGTGTAGATGTTTGTGCACAATTAATTTTCTTTTCTCAAGTTCCATGATCCGTAATTTGGGATGCGTCGATCAATCAAGAAAAACTTTTCACCAATTTCTTCGTCAATGAAACATCAACAAATGCCTGTCAAACGTTTTTTGTTCCAACCAACAGGGGCGCGGTGGTGTATTAAACCGTGCGTCCAGATTTACTTTGAATCGAGCTTTACTCAAGTGTTAGTTCCAATGGATCCTACAGTTGTAGACAGGGATGGATCGCTCTTTGGTGCATCATTAATTACTTTTTAATATAAAAATATAACGTTAAGCCCAATTGAATTTTCAGCAAATCCATCTCAAAACAGATAGATTAATGCTAGTATTCTACCGATCAAACTTCTAAATTTTCGCGATGTAGAGCCATATTCCGTGTTTAAACTCAAGCAAAAAAAAAAACACGAATTGTGGCCCAACAGTGCAAAGTTTATGAGGTTTGATTGGGAGAAAACTAGCATTAATATGTCTAATTTAAGATGGATTAACTGAAAATTTAATTGGCCTCAACGTTGGTTTTATATATTAAAACGTAATGAACGATGCACCAAAAAGCGATCCATCCATATATAATTATTAAAAATTGAATTAAATGCATAATATTGCATAAAGATTTCTTACCGTTTCACGAATTAATTCCAAGAAGGAGATGTTCCTACGCAGCTGTCAAATAAACAAGGCTTCTAAGAATCGCCTCCAAAAATATTTCAAGTTAATTAAGGTGAAAGTTGATAGAACCCACAAATATCCGCTTTTATGGTTATTTTGCCTTACCACTTCGAATTTTTGATTTCACGAATCTCAGAAACTAATGGCAAGGCAAACCATAAGGGCGGCCATTTGTAGATTCTATCAACTTTCACCTTAATGTAAAATATGTATTTTCAGTATTCAGCTCATTATCATACTGGCGGTAGAAGTTTCACAGCTGCGGTAGAACTGTACGGCAGCCGCCGGTAAGAAATTTCTATCAAGATCCACAATACCTCATATATGAAAACAAAAATGTATTGTGTGCAAAGTTAATAAGCCTGCTTTACGTGAACTTTCGTGTCTCGCTGCAGTCCATCATGAACAGCACTGTTTAGTGTCCCACACTGACACGAAGACGATGACCATCCGCTCCTTACATGGGGAACGGACGCTGTTTTGAGCCTCCCCTGACATGAAGAACAGGCCATGCTCTCTGGAGAAATGAGCCCCCACCCCCTCTATTCCCTGTCTTCATACGACCATAGTACCAGTGCATAGTGCGCCAGGAAATAAATCTATCAGGAAAAAAATAATAGCGCTCTGGGATTGTATCCAATTGAGTTGACGTATTCAGCAAAATTTCACGGATTAGCTAGGAATACAATTTGGTGAATAAAACTACATTCAAAGTGTTTTTTATGTTACTTCATACGCGAAGTTAACGATTTTCAGAGTTGGTTGGAAATGCTAACATGAAGCTTTAGTGTGATGATTTATTAGCTAGAGAATGATCTTTAGAAGAGGGTAGGTGGATAGTTCCGTTAGAGTACGGCAGTATGAAAATTGAATAGAAGTTGAAAATGAGCGAAGGGCCATTAAAGCGACAGTTTTCAAGATAGACGCACATTTTTGCCTAGCCCGTACGATGTACGCGGGGACTTGAAGTATGTCTCCAAGTCCACAGGCAAAAATGTGCGTCCCTCTTGTTGCTCATAAACTGACTGCGGCTGTGGAATAGTTCTAGCGACGTTTTCATCACTACCAAAGATGACAGTTCGACTTCGATTGCCTTCTACCACAGCGGCCAGTCATTGCGCTTCTTCAACTCCGCTAGGGTAAACGCTCCTATAGTAGCGGTACGTTAGAAGCGTAAGGTTCCTATAGTTGTGTATGGAGACTCAATACACAACTATAGGAACCTAACGCTTCTAACGTACCGCAACTATAGGAGCGTTTGCCATATATCGCTTGGAATGTCAGCATTTAACGCAAACGCCAATATGTTGTAGTCTTTGTGCCACACAGGGGGTGAACAATGTCTACCACTTTTCCGTACTTTACTTTCAACAGGATCTCCACCAGCAACTTCATCAATCAACGTATCATCTAGTTCATCTTCGGCGGTAGCTTCAAGATCTTTGTTGTCCTCTAGCGAAACTGCTTTTTCTTCATCGATGTGAACCGGCTGCTGCACACGACCTTGAATCGCAATTATCTGATTAGGTACGCAGCTGCATATACTGCCTCACCCCACAAACGCTTTGAAACACCACTTCCAGCTAGCATTGCTTGTACTTTCTCGACAATGGTTCGATTCATCCGTTCGCTCAAGCCATTCTGTTCCGGTGTATACGGAACCGTCATTTCCATTTGGATACCTTTCTGCCGACAGAACGCCTTTACTTGCTTGTCACTGTATTCGGCTGCGTTGTCACAACGAAGACGAGACATCCTAGATTGAAAGTGTGCTGTCGCCATGGCACGTTTTCAGGCAGTCCAGTGCTTCATCTTTTGATTTCATCAGATAGACAACCTTCAAATGAAATCATCCGTGAACTTAATGAAATACTGCATGCACGACACAATTAAAATCGACATCACTATGCACTAGCTCCAACGGACGGGTTGTCCGCTTTCCATCACGACTGACAAAGGGCTCTCGAGTTTGTTTGCCAGCAAGGCACGGTTCACATACCACAGACTCCGAACTTCCAGGCTGCACATTGCATGGTTAGCATCAGGTGATACGCGATGTCCTAGTCGTCTTCGCACCGGTTCGCACTTCAGCTCCCGAACCAACTGGTCAAAACGGAGAAAATGGGCCTCCCGACTCGAACTTTCGTCGTGCTTCATCCCTAACAGTTTCCGCTTTAGCATGAACCGATTTGTCAAGCTCTTCCGCTCGAAAGTTTCGTGCAATTCGTCCCAGATTTCCTTCGGACTCCTCTTGTCTTTGATATACTCAATATGATTATCCGCGACCGCACCAAGCAGAACCGAACGACACTTGTTGTCCTACTTTTTCCGGTATGCCTTCTTGTTCTCTTTTCCTGTCTTGACAGCTGCCGAATCCGTTTCCAGGATTTCCCAGAAGTTTTCGTTTTGAACACTCTTCCGACAAATTAATTCAAACTACGAATGAACTAAAAATTCATCATAAAATAAAGTTGTAAACCTTGAATAAGGGATCCAGTATGTGGAATAAGTTTGATTCCAAATGCTTAGAGTTTTTAAAAAAATATTTTAATGTTTTCAACTAAGGTCGAACGTTTGCCTCCACTACTCATTATAATAGTGCTTCTACAACTGAATCTCCATCGCCTCTCTAATCTTGATCAGATATGAAAATGATTACAAACGATGTGTTATCATTTTCATATCTGATCAAGATTAGACCGGCAATGTTGTTACAAACCCCAACCATATGCTACTGCCACTATTTCAGTATACTAAACCAGTTGGCTTTTGGCATAGCAAATGAAGGGAGACACATTTAGTGTTTCATCTTCTAGTTATCTGGAGCATTACATTTAGGACGAGAAACACTGAAGCAATCTCAATGGTCAGTCAATCCTATTCATAATTTTGCGAACAATTCTCACAAGCAACCAATGCACTTGGAGATGCCACTCTGCTACAAATCAAACGCGCCAATTATTCCGAATCGTCAATTTATTTTCGCGATTCAGTACACTGCGAGACGCCCTCGGGTTTAAACCGTATATTCCGTTGATTAACGCGCCGCTCTGCTGATGATACTAACCTGTGCTGTGAAGTGAACGCTGTGCGGTTGCTGATGCACTGGCATTAATTATGCTGTAGTGCTTACCGATATAGCAAAAAATAAAATCGATGCGCTCCTATCTAACTTTCGGATCGCCACAGGTTAAAACCCAACTCACCCGTGATAATTTACGCTTCGGTGTTATTTTTTTGATCGTATGAAAAATGATGATCAAAATACTTTCATTTACAGTTGTTTCTGCATACTAATTGACGATGGTTGTTTTGAAGGGCATTATTTAAAAAAAATCGGATGATTCATTTCCTCTTTACTACATTAATAGCTGACAAATGAACAACAACTAATGAAAGTATATTTTTTTTATTATAATTTTAAAAACAGGGTGACAGCAGCTCGACCGGTGAACCGGAAGAGGACAAAGAAATGCTGCTGTCCACCATGGAGGCGTCCCACTACTCGGCCCAGGAAGTGGCCGCCCGGCTCCGGGTTGACGTCCGGACTGGGTTGCGATGGGCCGAGGCCAACAGCCGGTCGAAAATCGTCGGTTACAATGAACTGAACGCCAAGGACGAAGAACCGACGTGGATGAAGTACGTCGAGCAGTTCAAAAATCCTCTCATTTTGTTACTATTAGGTAAAAGGTTTACAGATTACATTTGGTGACACTAGTTGCTTACGTGTTGTCTTTTGCAGGTTCCGCGGTAGTGAGTGCGTGTATGAAACAGTTTGATGATGCTATCAGCATCACGATAGCGATTATTATCGTCGTAACAGTTGCATTCATCCAAGAGTATAGATCTGAGAAAAGCTTGGAAGAACTGAAAAAGTTGGTGCCACCAGAATGCCACTGGTAAGTGTTCCCGCATTCAATACTGTCTAATTAGGTTAATTGCTGCTGCCGCAAAGCTTATAGGGTCGTGGATAAGTTTTCCCGACGCATTGGGATGATGTTGCTGTGGAGGATAAGGTAACCAATTTCCAACTGGGAAGTGTCAGTTATGATGATTAAATTGGGATTTTTAATCTTTTACAATCTTGTTGATTCGAAACAATTAGCCTTAATTCAACAATTAAATTTTGTTCTGCTGTTTATGTCATGCTGCAAGATTTGTCGAAGTTCGAGTACCATTGCAAAGTTTGTAGCAGTTCTGAATTTGGGCTACGCAGCTGCTCATGTTTATTAGCCTGTTCGTATAGTTTTCACTTAAGAAGCGTAGTGACGCACGTCGTGTCCGTAATAGTTTAAAATTATGCGTTTTAATTATCGAAGCACCTATCACTAATGTTTGGTGAAGAAAAATCCGATGTAGGGTAAGATGGGCCAAGATGAATACAGAGAAATACAGAGAAAAAAAACCAAGAGAATTAAGTTTTGATAGCTCTACAGGAATTCTGGTGAAGATGGAAATTGTTATGATAATGTCATGGAATTTCAGCGGACAACTCTAAAAAGTATTTCAAGGGCATTCTAAGGAAAGTTCGAAACAAGAGTTTCAATTCCGAGAAAAGTATTCCGTTGAAATCCTGACGTGAATAATGAATTTTAACGGTCGTTTCTGAAGAATTCCAAGCCATTTATGAGTAATATTCAAGTACTATCCCGAAATCAATACCATGCCAACTCTAAGGGACTTGAAAATGTCCATAGAGTATTGAGTTGAGGTGAGTTAAAGGGAGGAAAAGTAAGATTAGGTGAGATGAGGTAAGGTGAATTGAGGTGAATTTAGGTGAGGTGAGGTGAAGTGACATGAGGTGAGTTGAGGTGAGATGAGATGAAAGATAGATGAGATGAGGTTAGACACATTGAGGTAAGGTGAAGTGCGGTGGGTTGAGGTGAGTTGAGACAATGTGAGATGAGATACAATTATGTGAGATGAGGTAGAAGCTATGTAAGCAATTAGAAATAAAATGGCTAAGCCTGGGGCGCAATTTTCTAAACTAAACTGTTTACTTTAAAATAGGTACTGTACCAAAATTTCAAAGGGGTGTAATTGAATTTGTAAACAATGGATTTAGCTATCGATTTCTCGCGGAAAAAAGCACAGTCTTGAAAATTAATGAGACCACAGAGACACAGGCAGAGGAATATATCATCTACCAGCTAGCATTGTTAATTTGTAGGGATTAGCATTTATTTTCGAGATATCGACAGCTAAAGCCATTGTTTACAAAAACAATTACGCCCCTTTGAAATGTTGACACTGATTTAAATGTGGACCGGAAACGTCTGCCATATTTTTTTTTTTTTTTTAACTCTTTATTTGTTTTAAATTCAAAATAAATTACATTTCATTTTTTTAACCTAGGTGCTCCAGTTACTACAGTAACTTACCAGCCTTAATTGTTATGATATATATCTAAGTGTTTTTACATTGTTCCTGTCTTGGCAATTCAGTATTTTAAACAGGTTTTTTAAACCTGCATGTCAGTATAACAATTGATAGCTTAAAACTAAATAACTAAAACTAAATTTTATCTAAGTATAAAGGGAATTAATCGTTGCAATTGAGGATTGTAACGATTTTTGCCGGAAATTATTAATTATTTTGTTGGACATTTGTGCTAAAGTCTCAACATTCGAAATTCTATGTACTTCGGTAGTACTGTACCAGGGAGGCAACTTCAAAATCATCTTCAGAATTTTGTTCTGAATCCTTTGAAGTGCTTTTTTCCTGGTAGTGCAACAACTAGACCATATTGGCACAGCGTAAAGCATGGCCGGTCTAAAAACTTGTTTAAATATTAGAAGTTTATTCGTCAGGCAAAGTTAGGATTTCCTGTTAATAAGAGGATACAAACATTTTATATATTTGTTACATTTGGCTTGAATGCCCTCAATGTGATCTTTAAAAGTTAATTTATGGTCAAGTATTAATCCAAGATATTTCACTTGGTTTGACCAGGAAATTGGAACTCCGTTCATAGTGACTATGTGACTACTACTAGGTTTCAAAAACGAAGCTCTAGGCTTATGTGGAAATATTATAAGTTGAGTTTTGGAAGCGTTGGGAGAAATCTTCCATTTTTGTAAATAAGAAGAGAAAATATCTAAACTTTTCTGAAGTCTGCTGCAAATAACACGAAGACTTCTTCCTTTAGCGGAAATGCCTGTGTCATCAGCGAACAAAGATTTGTGGCAACCCTGAGGCAAATCAGGGAGGTCCGAAGTGAAAATGTTATACAATATAGGCCCAAGAATGCTACCCTGAGGAACTCCTGCTCTAACAGGTAGTCGATTAGATTTGGAATTTTGATAATTTACCTGCAGAGTTCTGTCAGTTAAATAATTTTGAACTAATTTCATAATGTAAAGTGGAAAATTAAACTTTTTCAATTTAGCAATCAAACCTTCATGCCAAACACTGTCGAATGCTTTTTCTATGTCTAGAAGAGCAACTCCAGTTGAGTGGCCTTCAGATTTGTTTGAACGAATTAAATTGGTAACTCTCAAGAGTTGATGAGTAGTTGAATGCCCATGGCGAAATCCAAACTGCTCATCTGCAAAAATTGAGTTCGTATTGATGTGAAGCATCATTCTATTCAAAATTATTTTTTCAAAAAGTTTACTTATTGAAGAAAGCAAACTTATTGGACGGTAGCTAGAAGCTTCAGCTGGATTTTTATCCGGCTTCAAAATTGGAACAACTTTTGCATTTTTCCATTTATCAGGAAAGTATGCCAAATGGAAACATCTGTTAAATAATTTTACCAAGAAAGACAAGGTACTCTCTGGGAGTTTTTTGATGAGGATATAGAAAATTCCATCATCACCTGGAGCTTTCATATTTTGAAATTTTTTAGTTATAGACCTTACTTCGTCCAAATCAGTCCCTCAGGAATCATCAAAAACATTTTCCCGAGAGAAAATATTCCGAAAATCCCGAGCAACCTGATTCTCAATAGGACTAGTAAGACCCAAACTGAAATTATGGGAACTCTCGAATTGCTTAGCAAGTTTCTGAGCTTTTTCCATATTTGTGATCAAAATTTTACCACCTTCTTTAAGCGCTGGAATTGGCTTTTGAGGTTTTTTTCAAAATTTTTGTGAGTTTCCAAAAGGGTTTGGAACTCGGGTCTAATTTAGAAACATTATTTTCAAAAGTTTTGTTCCTCAGGGCAGAGAATCGCTTTTTAATTTGTTTTTGCAAATCCCGCCAGATAACTTTCATGGCAGGATCGCGTGTTCTTTGAAATTGTCTCCTACGGACATTTTTAAGACGGATCAAGAGCTGAAGATCATCGTCTATTATAATTGAATCGAATTTAACCTCGCATTTTGGTACTGATGCAGCTCTTGCTTCAACTATAGAAGTAGTCAGAGATTCAAGAGCATAATTAATTTCATCTTTGGTTTGCAAAGGAATGTTTGGATCGAAGTTATATTCCATAAATGTTCGATATTGCTCCCAATCAGCCCTATGGTAATTGAAAGTAAAGCTGTTGGGATTAGAAATTATTTCTTGGGATATTTCAAAAGTTACTGGAAGGTGATCAGAACCGAAGTCAGCATGGGTAACCAATTGGCTACAAAGATGACATGAATCAGTTAAGACCAAATCAATAGTTGAGGGATTTCTTGCAGAAGAAAAGCATGTTGGGCTGTTTGGATATTGAATAGTGTAATAACCTGCAGAACAATCATCAAACAGAATATTACCATTGGAATTGCTTTGAGCATTATTCCATGAGCGGTGTTTTGCATTAAAATCACCAATAATGAAGAATTTAGTCCTATGACGGGTAAGTTTCTGGAGGTCACCCTTGAGAAAATTCTTTTGCTGGCCTACGCATTGGAATGGCAAATAGGCAGCTATAAACGTAAGTTGTCCAAATTTTGTTTCAACAGAAACTCTCAAAGTTTCAAAAACTTTGGTTTCAAATGAAGAAAGAATTTTATGCTTGATTCGTCTATGAATAATGATGGCAACGCCACCACAGGGTCCATCAAGACGATCATTTCTATAAATCAAGTAATTTGCGTCCTTCTTAACCTTATGGTCAGGTTTAAGGAACGTTTCAGTTATAACGGCAATATGCACGTTATGAACTCTCAAAAAATTAAATAGCTCGTCTTCATTATCTTTAAGAGATCGAGCATTCCAATTTAAAATGTTTAATGCTTTAAAATTCATTACTGAATTTTAAAGTCATGACAATATTATTAGCAAATTTTACTCCAGTTTGAATAGCATCAAACATGGAGTTAGATTTAAGCATATCAGAAATCATGTCAATTAATGAATTCTGTAAAAATTCCATTTTAGGGGCAGTAATGCTTCCTAAGTCAAAATTGTCTAAATTTCCGTTAGAACGTTGGTTAGTATATTGATTTCTACCCGCTGCAATAGCAGCATAGGTAGCTCCATTAACTCGCTGAACATTGTTAGCAGCGAGGGGAGTAGGTACAGATGAAACATTTGAAGCAGGGGTGATATTTGTACCTACGGGTACGAATGTAGAATTTGTTCCTCGCTGACCGTTGTTAACAGCAGAGGAATTTGTACCTGGTCGGAAACGTGGAGCGTTTCCTACCTGTCGGTTAGAACGAGATTGTAGGATCGCTTTGCGAGTCTTACATTCCCAAAAATTGGATTTTAACAATTTGAACATTTAAATTTCTTAGGATCTTCCTTCACAGGACAGTCGTCCTTTGCGTGAGAGGAATCACCACAATTCATGCATTTAGCTGGCATGTAGCAATTTTTAGTTCCGTGACCCCATCCCTGGCACTTACGGCACTGAGTGAGGTTTTGGAAATTTCCTCCAGTCTTCCTGAAGTGTTCCCACTTCACTCGGACATGGAGCATAAGGCTAGCTTTTTCTAAGGCCTTAAGGTTGTTTAGTTCACTAGACTTGAAGTGAACTAAATAAAAATCATTAGAAATCCCGTTGCGCGAATCGCCAGGACGGGATTTCATTTTCATTTTGATTACTTGGAGTGGCACAACTCCAAGTAATTTTGCCAGTTCATCTTTGATCTGATCCAGGGATTCACCACTGGGCAGTCCTTTCATGACAACCTTGAACACACGTTCAGTTTTGGTGTCGTAAGTAAAAAAATTGTGCTTCTTCTCAGTAAGATACTTGAGAAGACATTTAAATCCGTCCAAGGTTTCAGCCAATACACGGCATTCACCCCGACGTCCAATTTGTAGTGAAAACTTAACTTTCACGAAATTCAAAAGTTCCATGCGAAGAGCATGGAAATCGGTAGTGGTTATCACAATAGGGGGAATCTTTTCCTTCTTGGCATTAAGCCGGGAAAGTTTACTAGAATTTTTCTTGTATGATGGATCATTCTCATCATCCGTGAGCAAATCAAATTGATTACTCAAATTAATTTCTTCAGAAGGGGGGTCAAGAGTTTGCCCCTTTCTTTTGCGTTTAGGCGCCATGGCGGCAGTAAATTTTTTATCCAAATCGACTTCCAAGCAGATTACTATAAGAATCTGAAGAATCGAAGAGGAATTTTCCAAATCGATATCCAAGAAGGATTACCTCGGGTAGGGTCCAAACAAGGATCGAAGAGGAATAAGAGGAGTTGAACAAGGTAGAAAATTTTTACAGGTTGAGCACTGAAAAGTGCTGTTTAAATTTGTTGTAGCTTTAGGTAGTAGGAACACTTCCTTAAGCAAAAAGCAAATAGATCCGCACGGCAAGAGAGCACGATGCGGACTGTCTGCCTGCCATATAATATTTAAAGCAGTACGGTGGTTTCAGTAATAGGTATTAGTCGTTAACGAGACATTTGCTCCTGTTGGCGCATACGCACGATCATTTCCAGTGTCTGTTTGTACATATTTGGCCCGAGTCAATCAGTGGTCAATGACATTCTCAGTTATTTTTTTCAAAGTAATTAAGAAGCATGCTCACCTTAACAAACTTACATTTTGGTTGGACAATTGCTCATCCCAAAACAAGAATTGAAATTTGTTTCAACACATCATCCTTCTGATAAACAGTGTATGGAAATTCAAGTTGAGCAAATATTTACTGTTCAAGTTTTTTTTTAATCAGGCCATACTTTTTTGGGCGCTGATTTATTTCACGCAGCGGTTGAAAAAAATTGCGTCACGAACGTGTCGTTCCAAGCCAAGTTTAATGTCTCACAGTACACGTTGAACTTATTCAAGCTTAGCCCGTACGTGGACTTCATGAGAAAATTGGTTTTTTTCAAAAAGGACGTTATGAGCTAGGATACGCAAGCAACATCAACAGTGAGGTCCTTAAATACTGTAAACTGTTTTCCAAGAAACAACTCCAGCTGATCGAAAAGGATACGTTCTCTACTAAAGCTAACGTACTCTGGCAAAGGTCTCCTAGTGGAATTGAAGTATATAGGAAGTCCTCAACAACAGAGAGGACAATAACTATGTGTCACGAAAAGGTATAAATAGAGAAAGGTGTTGAAAGTCGATAAGTACATTTTATTATTTATTTGCTTGTAAATAGCAACATAACTGAGAATAATAGCTCAATTTTTCCTTTAAAAATGTGTTAATATGCTTACGACGTTATCGTGGCATCATCCAAATAATTCAAAGATTAATTTTACCATTTGGGCAATCGTTTGGAGCTAGTAATATGTTTACGATGTATTATTAGGATAACAGACTATAATTTTTGAACAATTTTTTATACATATTAAAAATTGGGACAGTGGGACAGATATGCGTCCATTTTTGCAATGGGACAAAACGACTTCACATTTTATGATTTTTTCTAGAATAAACAGCATGTCTTAATATAATATTTTAAAAATATGTATTGATTTATAACGTTTAACAGCATAACATCAAAAAATTCGAAATGTCACATGGGACAGTTATGCTTCCACCGGCAGTACAGTCCATCGGAATAATTTTGCAGAAGACAGGAACCTTCCATATGACCAGGATCACTCATTTATGAAAGTTCAACGTAGACATTTTCTCAAATTAAACCCAGGATACAGACAACGTAAATTTTTCAAGTAAATCGTTGCAAGATATATTTTTTTCAAGTAGGGTAAGTAAGCCAGTTTGGGCACTTGCGATTCAGTTTTGGCCCTCGGGCATAAATCAAATTTAATATTAATTTTCATAGCCTTACTCGCGTAGATATGTGCAAAATATATGTTCTAACCTTGTATCGAAATAAAGTTTGTAAAGTGTTAAAACGTGTGAAATTTAATAAAGGACCACTTAAAGGGCCACTAGGGCCAAAATCTGGCTCACTTTCCATATTTTGGAGCACATTTACGATACTAGATTACTGATTAAGCCTAGTATACAGATCGAAGCGAAACGAAAATTGAAGCACGCGAAAAATCATGAAATTTCGCTAGCGAAAAAGGTTGTGAAAAAATGTTTGTGGAACATTTTCCAGTTTTCTTTTTTCGCAGTGTACAGTTCATGTGAAACGAAATCGATCAGTTTACACCTCCGGTGAAGTGAAAATCTGACAGATACGCTCTCCTGAAACGTCAACTTTTCGCTTAGCTGCTGCTCTTTTCGCGAGCGCTGCATGCGCCAAAAAAAATAAACGCAAGCGAAAAAGATGCGATCCACAACATTAGATTTCGTTGGATCGTATCTGTTTACAGTTCAAAGGGAAGTGAAAAAATGTCAATTGCGTTTTTCACGCTGGTGAAATATTTTGTAATTTGTATGAGATTTTCGCTTCGCTTCGATCTCTATACAGGCCTTTACAGAATAAAAGTTCTAGACTGTCAAAGTGACAGAAGGTGAAAACAGATCCCCCTGGGTGCTTAGATGGTACTCTAAATATGTCCATTGGCTCATCTGGACTAGCCTAGCGTAACGTCAGCTAGTAGTAGTAGTTTTATTTGTTCTCAAGGCATACTAAAATTTATGTAAAAAAGACACAATTCTAGATAGAGCTGGAATAAGGGCGAATGTCACAAGTGTAAACAAACTGAGGTTAAAGCATCACGTTATACTACTATTCAAATGCTACAAACCGATATTAAAAAAAATGGATAAATAATGTACATTCTTAAAAAAAAACGCAAAAAACATAAGGGCGAAACCAAGTTTTTTTTATTACAAATTGAGTTGTCTCTTACGCCCGCTTCCTCCCATATACATAGATGGGGCGAAACAGACATATTTTCTCAATACAAGGCGAAAGATATAATTTGAATCTTTTCACTAATCCTTGCAATAACCGGTTGGTAATCAAAAGGAAACATTGTTAATCAGATCGAAATAAGTGAAAACCGAGGTGAAAACACCACAACACATGAATTTATCTGGAATCCAACAAACTGCAAAAGGTTGATAGTAACAAACCATCAGGAAAAAGAACGTAAATATTGAGGCGAAACAGACAATGTCAAAAACTGTGAACGCAGCCGGGTGAATAACCTCGGGGCGAAACAAGATACTATAAATCAAAAGAGCGCATGCAACATTTTGATTTTTTCGACCTGTAAATTAAAATAATAATATTCTTATTTATCTCATAATAATGCTAACCAATAATTTAATAATTAGAAATAGTCCAGTTCTAGAAATGGGTTAAAAGTTTATTTTATATTTAATTATTCTTGTTCAAAACTTCAGATACATTTTTCTCAGTTCAAGCCCATTGCGACATTGGCCCTTATTCCAGCTCTATCTAGAATTGTAAAAAAATAGCACTTGAGGCAACAACTGTCACACGGTCTATACTGATTGACGACAAAATAAAAATAAAATAAAATAAATATCAGACTTCAGAACTTCATAACTGAAATCCGCTGATGTAACGTAAGGTCGCCATTCACCGTTCGACCTCCCATCACCGATTATTATCATTTTTTTTCTTAAACTGGGTTCCCCAAATATCTTCGCGAGTTGAGCTGAAAAATTTGAGGAGATCCCATGAATGTTAAGTCCAAAAGCAACAAGTTTTTTTCTCTGGTCTTTCGTTTTAGGGCAATCTTACACAGTTCTAGGTACCTTCGTTACCTATGCTAATGGTTTTGCATGAGCGAAACACTATATTTTCCCCGCCAAAAACCTTCACCAATTTAATACTAACTAAAAAACATTGCATTTCCCTTAACTATTTTTTCAGTTTGAGAGAAGGACGATTGGAAACATTCCTCGCGAGAAATCTCGTTCCTGGTGACGTAGTGTATTTGAATGTGGGTGATCGGGTACCGGCCGACATTAGGATATTCGAAGCGCACGACTTGTCGATCGACGAGTCCAGCTTCACCGGTGAAACCGAACCGGCTCGCAAGAGTATGGAGGTGGTACTGAACGTCAACAGTTCCAAGAACCACACCGGTATGAAGAATATTGCCTTCATGGGTACGCTAGTTAGGTGCGGTAATGGAAAGGTAAGGATTGGAAAAATGGCGCTGTGATTGAAAGGAACTCAATGGATTAAAAATCGATTTTCAGGGAATTGTAGTTAGCACCGCTGAAAAGAGTGAATTCGGAGAGGTCTTCAAAATGATGCAAGCTGAAGAAGCTCCCAAAACGCCACTGCAAAAGTCGATGGACATTCTTGGAGCGCAGCTGAGTTTCTATTCATTTTGTATCATCGGTGCTATCATGTTGCTCGGTTGGATTCAGTCGAAACCACTGGTGGAAATGTTTACCATCGGAGTGAGTCTGGCCGTGGCTGCCATCCCGGAAGGTAAGAAAACAATAAAGATGCATTTTTGAAAGTAAACTGATGAATTGTAATTTTTCACCGTTCACAGGTTTACCAATCGTGGTGACAGTGACCCTCGCCCTAGGGGTGATGCGAATGGCCAAACGAAACTGCATCGTTAAGAAACTGCCCACGGTGGAGACGCTTGGTTGTGTAACGGTAATCTGCTCGGACAAAACGGGCACCATAACCAAGAACGAAATGACCGCTACTGTGATCATCACTTCTGACGGCTACATGGCCGATGTAACTGGTGCCGGGTACAATGACAATGGTGAAATACATATTCGTGATTGTAACAGTATGGATAATGCCAAAAGAAGCATCAACCAGTTGTTGGAAGCTGGTGTCGTGTGCAATAATGCCATTATTCAAGACGATACCCTTTTGGGACAACCGACTGAAGGTGCCCTCCTGGCAGCAGCTATGAAGAACGGACAATATTCAGCAGCAGATAATTATTTACGGATACAGGAATATCCATTTAGCTCCGAGCAGAAAATGATGGCCGTCAAAGCAGTACCCAAGTATGCGAACAACAAAGATGAAATCTACTTTGTCAAAGGCGCCATCGAAATGGTACTGCCACAGTGCACCAAGTTCTGGTACGGAGGTCAGCCAATTACGTTGAGCAAGCAAAATGAAGCCGAATTTCTGCAGGAAGCGTACGAGATTGGTAGGAAGGGTCTGCGAGTTTTGGCCATCGCCAGGGGATCCTCATTTCAAGACTTGGTTTACTTGGGCTTGGTGGGTATCACCGATCCACCCAGACCCTTAGTGCGAGAATCTATCGAGTTGCTTCGTGCCAGCGGAGTGCTGGTCAAAATGGTAACCGGAGATGCGCAGGAAACGGCGATGGCGATCGGTAAGTGTGAACATTTAAAAATAGTAAGATCTGTATTACACTCAGGAAACTAGACGCATGATACTTTGACTATATGTTTAGTATTACTTCTGCGTGAAGTCAACGATTTACATAGTTGAAGATGCATGATGTTCACATGATCGTCTTGAAGCAGGCATCAAACATGTATGAAGCTTTAGGAAAGGTTTCCTTCTTAAAAATAAGAGCAGTTCTTCCTAAATTTGCTATTCTTGTATTTACTTTAAAGGCCCAGCATTTGTCTGTTTGAAACGATTGGTTTCCCTTTCTTTTAACTGCTCGTCCTTTTCTTAAAGTTTATGCCAGCAAATCATTATGATGTGAAAAATGTGAGCCTGGGAACTCAATATGATCACCAATGATCGTAAAGTGTCGTATTTTTTATTCTCATGTGATTTATGTGTCGTATGATGGGTTTTTGCCCAAGTCAGAAACTGGAAACTACTTGAAACATGTCCGGGAAGGGGAATCTGATCCTGGGAACTTAATAATTATCATTGAACTTGGTTTTGAATTCTCATGTGAATTGAAGTGCAGAAACTAGCCACTTGCAGATGTGACTAACGTGGTCCTGGGCACTATTGAACTAGGTTTTAAATTCTCATGTGATTTGAGATGTCGCATGATGAATTTTGGTCCAAGTCAGAAACCGGTCACTTCTCCGGGAGCTCCCGGACCATGTCCGAATGTGGCCAATGTCCTGGGCATTAGATATGGCCAACATTGATTTTGATTTTGAGTTCTCATGTGATTAGAGGCGTCACATGATGGGTTTTGGATCAAGTCAGAAACTGGACACTTCCCCGGAGGTACCCGCAACATGTCCAGATGTTACCAATGTGATCATGGGCACTTAATATAGCTACAATTGAACTAGGCTTTGTATTCTCATGTGATTTGAGGTGTCACATGATAGGTTTTGGTCCGCTTCATCGGGGTATCCGGGACATGCCCAAATGTGCCTTAAATGGTCCTGGGTACTTGATATGACTACCTGAACTTGTGTTTGAGTTCGCATGTGATTTGTGGTGCCGCATGATGGGTTTTGTTCCAAGTCAGAAACTGGCCACTTAGCCGGGAGTACCAATGGGATCCTGCGCACTCAATATACCACCATCTGGTTTGTGAATTCTCATGTGTTTTGAGGTGTCGCATGACGTGTTTGGCACGTTTCAGGTCACTTGTATTATTAAGGGACGTATTCAGTGAAACATATTCCGGTCATATCTCCGGAACCAGTTGATCGAAAAATATTCAATAACGACGTATGAAACCATGGTACCTTTCATTTGGTGGTTATTGCGTCAAATTCAGTGCTGTGGTTGCCGAGGAAACTGCGTTACACACACATAGTTATCACATCGAGCTGAGTCAATTGGTATATGAATAACTCGTCCCTCCGGGCCTCGGATCGACAGTCGGCTTTTCAAGTTGCATATTTACCTTTTTTTTTGTGAGAAGGATAAAAAAGAATGCTAGCAATCTTTTCGATGGTAAGACAAAAGGTCGAATAGACAAAAGGTCGAATAGACAAAAGGTTGAAATGGACAAATGGTCGAAATGGATAAATTGATCAAATTGATGGAGGATAAAAATTTGGCTTAGTCTCAAATATCTCTCCTTCTTTAAATCATGAGCAGTTCTTTTGAAAATTAATATAACAAAAAGTAACTGTGCGTGTCGCTGAAATTTAAGAGACAAATGACTACCTTCCTTTAGAATATATTCCTTTTTTTTTTAATCATGAGCATTTCTTTGGAAGTATGTGCATAGTATTTTTTTTAAGTTCTTTCAAACTCTGAGCAAAAATTTTCTTAAAATATTTTGACAATTTTTATGTTGGTTTTCTGAAATTATGTTCACTTCGACTTTTTGTCCATTTTGACCTTTTGTCCATTTCAACCTTTTGTATATTCAACCTTTTGTCTTACAATCGAAAAGATTGCTAGCTTTCGTACCACCTACGATATTGTGCTACTTGTTTGATGCTAATGCTAATGCTAATGCTAATTTTGACCTTTTGTCCATCCGTCCTTTTGTCTCTCTACTAAGTTCAATTCGATCTTTTGTTCCTCTAAGCTAAATTTGACCTGTTGTCCCTCTAAGTGCAATTCGACCTTTTGTCCCTCTTAGTTCAATTCGACCTTATGTCCTTCGACCTTTTGACCCTCTAAGTTCAATTCGACCTTTTGTCCCTCTAAGTTCGAAATAATGTCCTTCGACCTTTTGACCCTCTAAGTTCAATTCGACCTTTTGTTCTTCTTCTTCTTCTTCTTCGCATTTCAAGCTTATTGCTTAGCGCATATTAGCTTATTGCGTGGTCTCAAGTTAGTGTTCTAGATGCACTTCCACGGTTATTAATTGAGAGCTTTCGATGCCAATACCAATCCATGAATTTGTATACGCCGTCGAACCCGCCGTCTCCGGCTTAGTAATACCGTGCCTTTACTGACTAGGCTTTTTGTCCCTTTAAGTTCCATTCGATCTTTTGTTCTTTCGACCTTTTGTCCCTCTATGTTCAATTCTACGTTTTGTCCAGTAGTCCTTTTGTCCTTCGATCTTTTATCTTTGGACCTTTTGTCATAGATTCGTTTCTTCGTGGCATAGATTTTGTCGACTGAAACTTGTATTGTGAAGCCCTGATTTAGACATGCAAAAGTTTTCTACAAAGGATTAGGTCCTAATTTCCGTCATACTAAGCATAACCTCTCTTTTTCGAAAGGGTATGAACAAAAAATGGAATGTTATCAAAGATGACATCTAAATTTATTTACCTTTCCTTTAGATTTGATAAAGAGTCACAAATGGTTAAAAATCTTTTACTGCTTTTTGATTACATTTTCGTCAAACGTTTTTTTCATTTCCATCCAAACATATTGAAATGTCATTGATTTTACTTCGGTATACGGATTATTATGAGAAGAATAGATGTAAATAGTCATATTATGCGTTCTTATAGACTTTGATTTGTAGCTTTTGAACTAAACTATCATATCAAACGTATGATGGCTTCGTTCATGCAGAAATCATTGATATAATTGAACGCCTATTTTCATCATATCGAGCAGAGACATCAATCTGCTCGATATGACGAAAATGGGCGCTTGTGCCGAAGTCGTTTTTTTTTTGTTAAGACATGCTATTGTAATTAACTTGAAATTCAAGAGTGAATTTTCAAATGGCCGCATCTACTTTTGTAAACAAATATTCAAACGCAAATTTGTCGAAACTCTTTGCTCGCCTACGCAAACTTACACCACCATAATGTTAAGAGTTTCGATAAATTGACGTTTGAATCCTTGGTTACCAAAGCAGATACGACTATTAGAAAATTCACTCCTGAATTATTCCTACACTCAAAAAAATCCACACGTTTGATCGAAGTGTTTAAACACTTGATTCTTCAAATACCCAATCACATTTATTTTCAGTGTATTTCACCTTGGTTCAACGTGTTATACACGTTAATTTCTAGTGTTTCAAAATTTTGAAATGTTGAAAATATTTCACTATCTATTCGAGTGTACACACTTAGAAAAAATTACCGACTTCGGTAATTCATTTACCGAATTCTCAACAGCTGAACGGTCGGTAATGTGTTCGGTAATCGAGAACATTACCGAAAAATCTGTAAACTGAATCAGCAAAACTAGCTGTCAAATTTACCGAACGATCGGTAAAGTTTACCGAAAAAACAAGCTTGATTTGTAATTGAGTTTACCGGAGAACTGTAATTTTGGAGTCGATATGGAAAAAGAAAATTACCGAAAGATCTGTAATTTTTAAAAAAGTTCACCGACTCAAATTTAATTCGCTTTAATATTGAAGTGATGAAATTGGGTTGTTAGCGGAATGCTTAAATAAAACAGCAAAAAAGAGGGTTATCTTCCATTTAATTCCACTTAATTCATTTTGGTATCCAAAATTCAATGTGCAGTCTTCATTAAGTTTTTGTCGGAAAGATTCGGCGCTACACTGAAAACAAGGAAGCATTAGAAGATCGTCGTTAGCGGGAATGGAACTTGGACCGACATAAAAAAAACAAGCAACAACATCGGCCATCTGTAATCGGTATTTATTTAGATAACGAAAATTAATTATTTACGAAAAATATCTACGATTCACTCATCCTGGTGTTGCATAACAGCCTCTATAATTTCACCTTTTTTATTTTTCACAAGCACGAACGCTTTTAATGTCGATCGAAAATAACAATATGGTGGATTTGACGTTTACCTAGACCGTTACCGAACTCAGTAACGGAACGCTTTGTTTACCGAAACTTCAGTAAAATATTTCGCCGAAGTCAGTGATGAAGCTAATTTACAGACCGGCCGGTAAAAATGTTTACCGTATTCGGTAAATTAAAATAAAATTACCGAAATTCGGTAATTTCATTTACAGTTTTCAGCAATAATGCGAGAAAATACCGAATCATCTGTAATTTTTAGCATTACCGATTTAAGACGGTAATTTTTTTTACCGAACTCAGGGTCTCTGTTTAAGTGTGTATGCAATGAGCAATAACACTACTGTTCAAAACAGATGGATTTAAAGTGTTTAGCTTTTCAATGCGATGAGAATTGCTTGTTCAGAAAGGTAAACATCGAAAACAAGAGTTGTGACTTTATCCTATCATATATGAGAACAACCGTGGCACAGTGGGATTGAACGAAGACTCCGGCAGCAGCACACCCCAACAGTCCATGATCCAATCCCAAATCAGAGCCATTAAAAAGATATGTGAAATCTCTGGCAGTTTTGTTTATATATTTGTCGATTCATTTTTAGTAGAAGTCGATAAAGTAGAATATTGTAGAACATTGAACTATGATGTGCAAAGCTATTGATATCACCATATGAGGCACATAGAATCCGAGTGTGTCACAATTAAAATCCAGTGTTCAGGTATGATTCATAGCATAAGATTCACACATGAAATGGATGTGTTTCACAATAAGCGCAAAATTAAGTGTGAGACACATGATGATGACGTGTAGAATTTTTTGAGTGTACTTATTTTTATGTTTGTCTTCAAACAATTTTCTGTTAGAAAATTGTGTAGTGTAGTGTTGTGTATCTAGTGTAGAAAGCACTTTTACTTAAAGACCATGGAATCTCGCTATTGAAGTACAACACACAAAGTTCACCGGTCCTTATAAAAGTATGCATTACTCAAAGTTTGAAGTCTTTCAGTTTCTTAAACAAACCCTGAACCTCGTAGTCTGCGAAGGGTCCGCAGGTCGCTTTCTACTTGGTCTATCCACCTTGCCCGCTGCGCACCTCTTCTTCTTGTTCCTGTTGTGTAGCTTTCTAGAACTATTTTTACTGGGTAGTCGTGTGGCATTTTTACGACGTGCCCAGCCCACCGTAGTTGCCCAATTTTTGCAATGTGGACGATGGATGGTTCTCCCAGCAGCTGGTGCAATTCGTGGTTCATTCGCCTCCTTCACGTTCCGTCATCCATCTGCACTCCACCGTAGATGGTACGCAACACCTTCCGTTCGAAAACACCAAGGGCGCGTTGGTCCTCCACGAGCATAGTCCAGGTCTCGTGGCCGTAGAGAACCACCGGTCTAATCAGCGTCTTGTAGACAGTCAACTTTGTGCGGCGGCGAATTTTATTCGTCCGGAGCGTCCTCCGGAGTCGACAGTAGGCACGATTCTCTGCCATAATGCGTCTTTGAATTTCCCTGCTGGTATCAGTTTCGGCGGTCACCAGTGAGCCCAAATACACGAACTCGTCGACCACCTCGATTTCGTCACCGTCAATCTGAACTCGGGATGGGAGGCTAACATTGTCTTCCCTAGAACCTCTTCCTTTCATGTATTTTGTCTTTGATGCTGATGGCAAGTCCAATCCGTCTAGCTTCAGCCTTCAGTCTGATGTACGTTTCCGCCATCATCTCAAAGTTCCGTGCCATAATGTCAATGTCAATTCCTTAATATCGTGCCTCTCGTGTCTATCCCAGCTCTTCTCATCACACCTTCTAACGCGATGTTGAACAGCAGACACGAAAGTCCATCACCTTGCCGTAACCCCCTTCGAGATTCAAAGGGACTCGAGAGTGTCCCCGATACTCGAAAAACGCACATCACTCGATCCATCGTCGCCTTGACCAATCGCGTCAGTTTGTCCGGAAATCCGTACTCGTGCATAATCTGCCATAGCTGATCTCGATCGGTTGTGTCGTATGCGGATTTGAAATCGATGAACAAATGATGTGTGGACACGTTGTATTCGCGGCATTTCTGCAGAACCTGCCGAATCGCGAAAATTTGGTCCGTGGTAGCGCGGGCACCCATTAATCCCGCCTGGTATTGCCCCACGAACTCTCTTGCAAATGGTGACAGGCGGCGGCATAGAATTTGGGAGAGTACCTTGTAGGCGGCGCTCAGCAGTGTGTAGTGCAACTTCCAGCTGCTGTGCGTAGTCCTGGGCAACTCCGGCGTCCCGTAGTTGCTCAATGTTAGGTCGCGGCGTTCGACCTTCAAATGTTGCTGTGATGCGAAAAGTGAGAAAGCAAATTACAGCGATCTGCTCACTGAGCAATGTGAGTAACTCGAAGTGCCTCAAAAGCAAATATGAAATTGCTTATGATTAGGAGCTTAGTTAAATTCGAACTTTGACACTCTAAGTTAAATTCAACCTTTTTTCCCTCTTAGTTAAATTCGAACTTTTGTGCATTCGACCTTTTGTCCCTCTAAGTTCAACTCGACCTTTTGCTCATTTCGACGTTTCGTCCGTTCGTCCTTTTGTTCCTCTTAGTTCAGTTTGACCTTTTGTTCCTCTAAGTTCAATTCGATCTTATGTCTCTCTAAATGAATTTCGACCTTTTGTCCCTCTTAGATCAATTCGACATAATGTCCTTCGACCTTTTGACTCTCTAAGTTCAATTTTTGTTCATTAGATCTTTTGCCCCTCTAAGATCAATTTTACCTTTTGTTCATTGGACATTTTGTCTTTCGATTTTGTCGATTGAAACTTGTTAGGAACTAATTTCCGTCATACTACTCAACCTCTCTTTTTCGAACGGGTTTGAACAAAAAATGATTTTTTTTTTATCAAAGATGACATCTATAGTAAATTTATTTACCTTTCCATTTAGATTTGATAATGAGTCACAAATGGTCAAAAATCTAACACTGCTTTTTTTATTCCAATTTCGACATACGTTTTTCAATTCCATCGAAACACATTGAAATGTCATTGATTTTACTTCGGAATGCGGATAAAGGCAGATAAGTGTTTTTGAGAAGATTAGATGTAAATATTCATATTATGCGTTCATAGACTTTGTTCTGTAGTTTTTGAACTAAACTATCGTACCAAACGTATGATGGGTTCGTTCATGTCGAAATCTTTGATATATTTGATGTATCTGCTCGATATGACGAAAATGGGCGCTTGTGCCGAAGTCGTTTTTTTTTTAAATAGATGCTATTGTAATTAACTCGAAATTCAAGAGTGAATTTTCAAATGGCCGCATCTGTTTTTGCAAACAAATATTCAAACGTAAATTTGTCGAAACTCTTTGCTCGCCTACGCAAACTTACACAACCATAATGATGGGGGAAACTTTACCCTATCTGACGGTAGTGTTAGTTTGCGCGGGCAAGTTAAGAGTTTCGATAAATTGACGGTTGAATTTTTGGGTACCAAATCAGAAGCTTCTATTTAAAAATTCACTCCTGAATTATTCCTACTTATTTTTTTGTCTTTAAACAATTTCCTGTTAGAAAATGCGGTGTTTCATAGTACTGTTCTACTAATTGTATCTAGTGTAGAAGGCACTTTTATTTAAAGACCCCGGAACCTCGCTATTGAAGTACAACACACAAAGTTCACCGATCCTTGCATTACTCAAAGTTTGAACTCTTTTAGTTTTTTGAGCAAACTCTGAACCTGTTTGTAAAGTCCTCTGAACTCTTTCTCAAAGTTTCTTAGGTCTACCATCTAGCATCACTGAGCTTATTCAATCTAATTCCAGATACATCGGTCAAAAACGAACCGGATAGTTACATAAATAACATTTTTTTTTTCTTTATTAAAGAGATTTTTAGCCATAGGCTAGTTCATCTCTTACATAAATAACAAAACACGGAGGCACCCGGAGTTTTATGACCATAATTATAAGAAGCAGAATAAGAGACGAACCTGCTAAGGGTTAAAAGTCTATATAATAAAGCAAAAGAAAGAACACAATAATAAGAAGAAGCGGAATATTTGAACCTTTTGATAAATGTTTTGCCTCAACATAAATTCTGTTCACTTCCCAATGGCATTCGGAATCTTTCGGGGAATGATTTATGTGGTTCTGGGCAGGGGCTTTTGATACATCGGTCAACGATCTCGTGATTAAATTGCAATGTGATTTGATATGTCGTTTGAGCCAACATCTAGGCTCAATGCAGATTATCTTCAATTTTCCGGGGGCACACAGGACATTTTCATGTAATTTGTTTAAATATATATTTTTATTCAATACATTTATCGTCTCTAACTGGACATTGATGATAGCCCCCCCCCCCCCCCTAAGTTGTCCACGTGGTATATGAACGGTCCGCAAGGATTGCGTGCTTATAATAACTATGCTTTTGAAACATTCTCCTAGGATGTATTCACATTTTTGTCTGATTGTTCGACAGTTTTTGTGCTGCAACCGAAAAAAAAACAAAAGTAATCCTAAAATATGATTGCAGCTTTGGATAGTGTGATCGATTTAAAAAAAAAACACATCAAGAGTTTATGATTTGGTGAGCGACTATGTTGTGAGACGTTACAAAGTTTTTCACTTCTCAACTACAGCACTATTCAACAACTATCCACCAAAACGTTTTGAGCTACCCAAATCAGAAACTCTTGGTATTATAGGAAATCTAACGCACTTTCCAAATCTACAATCATATTTAGGGGTTACTTTTCATTTTTTACAGTTACAATACAAAAACTGTAAAAAAATAGGCAAAACCCATTGTAACGTCACGTAGAAGCTCTTACACAAGAAGTGTCATCACAAATTCCATTGCAAATAAATTCCTACATACATATCACCCGCCTGTGGACTGCTAACAGTTCTCAACTATTACCTTTAAATAACGATCACGAAAAGAAAACCAAACAAACAACACTGGCAAATAGTGTACAAATAAATATTTTTTATTAGCCATCTTGTCAATCCTTCTCAAGTCCATTCACCAGCCCAAACGGCTGGCCAGACCCCATCCTTTTTTTTCCTTTTTATCTTTTTTTTCTTGCTTTTTCGACTCCTCCTGGGGTGGAGCTTCCGGCAGCACATTGATCTTGTACGGCACTCGCACGTACTCCGGCATCTGGTAGTTGATCGTCGATGGTATCTTGTTAAACACATACCTCTTGTACGGGACGGGTTTTACCACTTCAACTTGCTTGATCACTTCAACGTGCTTCTCAACCGGAATGTGCCTAATTTTTTCCACATGCTTGATCACCTCATACGGCACTTCCACCTTATCGATGATGACTTTCTCGATGGGAATCTCCTTGATCACTTCCACTGGGCGCTCGACGAACACTTCCTTCGTCACCGGGATATGCTTGATCACCTCGACGGGTTTGTTGATCTGCACGTGTTTCTGCACCTTAACTTCCTCGATATGTTCCTGTGGTATGTGCTTGATTATCGGTTCACCCTTCACCAGGTTCAGTTTCACGAGTGGCACTGGAATTTCTTCAAGCGATGGCATTGGAATATGAAGCGGGTAGCTCTTTTTCTCCTTGCCATGAACGGTGGCCGCCAAGACGCAGAGAAGAATTATTTGCTAAAAGTGTACAATAGATTAGAATGGATGACGAGTGGGGCGTTCCGAACACGGTTCTTACCAACTTCATCATGATGGGTACTTGTTGTATCGTTGAATTGTGATGAGTGAAATAGCTACAGTAATACCATTAGTAGTGTTTATATAGACAAACGATGCCAGTTTGGAACTTGTTTGATGAGAAAGTGAACGATGGAAACACGTTTTCTTTATGCAATCATTCTCGTGCATTGCAGGGCTTATGCTGTTGCTTACGCTGTAAATATGTTGGTGATTCACTGCTTTCTTTCCGAACTTAAAATTGCACTGCTTCATATAAATACCGTGATAGTAGTAGTGGGAAAAAATTAAAGATGATAATCATCCTATTTATCCTTTATTCCTGTCCTGCATTGCCTAAAAACTGTAGTCACCAAGGGACCGTACATAAAATAAGTAGCAGTTCAACTCCCTCCGAGTTGTTTGGAGAATGTGTGCCTAACCGTGTATTAGGTATAGTGAAATTCACTGCGAAAAGGGGTCAAAAATATGGTTCGTCATTTATGGTTGGCCTGAATATAAAATACGACCAAGATTTCGTGCGTTTTCTACGTGCCAGCCCTATATTCGACGCGGTTACTAATAGTGACGCACTTGTCTATTTTTAATCGCTTTTCAATTTTGGCGAGATATTTTTAAAGTCTTTGTTACACTATCATCCCTAGAGCACTGGAACTAATATTTGCAACGTTAAAATTTCAAAAATATTAATCGAAAATGATCGAGTGCGTCAAGTTAGGAACCGCGTCAAATATGCTTCACGATACTCAATTGACATATTTGTTTTTTTTTTCTTCAAATGTTTAATTCTTATGAACTCGAATATTAAATAAATGTTCATGACCTTCGACTTACAACAAAATTAATGATTCCAGAGTTCGAAAGTTTTAGAAAATTAAACTCAATTAAATTTGGCCCTTATTACGTGTGTCACTTCACGGTGAAAACGAAGTGAGGTGACCAGTTGTCACTCACGGTGAAGTGATTCCCATGTAAATCAAATGGGAATCACTTCACCGTGAGTGACATGTCACTTCACCGTGATATTGGTAATAAGGGCCTTTATCCAGCAGTGAGTAGTGTTTCGTACCAATTCAAACAATTCCCTGGAAATTTTCAAAAAATCTCGTTTTCCTATTCCCGAGAATCTGTTTCAATTTCCCGGTAAACATATTTAGAAGGATTTGTGGGTGAAAGTTACAAAAAATTTCCCAGAGGAGCCAAACGAAACTTTTAAAGAGAAAGATTGGATTAACTTCCATAGAAATCTGAAGATTTTCTCAAATTAATCGAAAGAATGTTTCAGAATTTTCCGAGGGTAGCCAGAAGAAATTTCCGGGGAGGCCAGGAATAAATTTAGTGAGAATCAGAAGACTAAGCTACGCCAAAAATACGAATCAAGAAGTCGGGAGAATCTTCTGGAAGAAGGTTCCGATGAAATTACAGTGCTTTCCCGATTTTTTCAGCTCCCGATTTTGTCAGCAGATTTCACTAATTTTTTGAGTTTTTAAACATGAATTCTCAACTCTACGCTACGAATAATTGTTATCCTTACACTTCGCTGTAATGTGAATGTTAGGGGAAGCGGGAGTAAAATGGACATACGGGGTAAAATTAACAATTAAGTGCTTTTTCATTCAAATATCAATCAACTCAACGCACAGGTCTTTCATCCAATGTACCTTTTACATTTTAATTCATTTACATTAATATAATATGCTCGTACTAGGTATTATTAGTTATGAATTGCTGTTTGCTGGAAAAATCATTTTTACCACGGAAAACCTGTTTTTTTTTTGCAATGGGGGGGGGGGGGGGCGGTCAACAAGTTGCTGCATGGTCAGCAACATTTATTCTTAGAAAATAAAAAAATTGAACATAAAAGTTTTGATTGACTTTCAATTTTCAAGAGATTTCGTCATCGCAAATTCTCGAATTCAACGGAGATAAATCCGGAGTGATTTGAGATTTGGGCGTAATTGCTATTGTAAACAAAGACGTCAATTGCCGATTTCTCTTGAATTAAAGCCCAAACCCATGAATAAAATATACCAAATGATAGAGGAATCATTCTTCTACCTCATAGCGTTATTAGTTTTCGAGATTGAGCTTTTAATCGCGAGAAATCTGTGATTGACGTGTTTGTTTACAAATGCAATTACGCCCAAATCTCAAATCACTCCTGAAATAACATCGTCAATTGAAAGGGACAATGCTTCAACCTAATCAGCCCTACCACCTTTTGCTTCGGATTGTCGGAGAGGCAGTTTGGATTCCGGAAAGGGAGATCAACGGTGGATGCAATTCGGACAATGATCGAGAGAGCCGAGGAGGCGTCCAAACTTGCGAAGCGTAGAGGAGATCGATATTGCGCCGTGATAACGATCGACGTCAAGAATGCGTTCAACAGCGCAGCTGAAAAGTCATTGCCAAAGCGCTGCATAGAATGAGGGTCCCTGACTACCTGTGCAGGATTCTGAGGAGTTACTTCCAGAACCTGGTTCTGGTCTACGAGACAGACATGGGACAGAGATCGATTAGGATCACAGCGGGAGTTCCACAAGGCTCGATCCTTGGTCCAACGCCTTTGCCTCGAAGCGTGTTTTGAAAAACCTGGTAGTGATGATCGATGACCGGCTAAACTCCAACAGCCACGTCGAATATGTCTGTGAGAATGCTTCGAAGTCCATCAACACAATAGCTAGAATCATGCTGAACAACTCTATTCCCAGCCATATCAAGAGGCGTCTTCTGGCTAGATACTGAGGTATGGAGGTCCAGCCTGGTTTGCAGCACTGGAAACGAATCAATGTACGTTCCGGATCATGGCCACGCGTGAGTGCGTACAGAACCATCTCATCAGAAGCAGTATGCGATATCGCCGGAATGATCCCTATCGGCATCACCCGGCGGAGGACAGCGAGTGCTACAGTCAGAGAGAAGCCGGTAGAGTACGGAAAGTGCACACTTAGAAAAATGCATGCATATTTAGATGTTCTGTGGCTGAAATATACGAGCGTCAATTTTGACATAAAATTGAGTCATAACAGACGCGAAATTCAGCTCAATCAAACGAACTTTTCGTCAAGTATCTAACGAAAGTCTCGAAGCACTTAATTTTACATGACACGTTTGTTTACGTCTCATCCTTTTGTCAGAGATGGATTCCGTCCCGTGTAAAATTAGTTATTTCTAAGTGTGTGGTGAAAGCGGAGTCTTTAGCAAAGTGGCAATAAGAGAGTGGAACACGATGGATAACGGTAGATGGACACATCGGTTATTACCGATTCTTTCGACCTAGGTGAACAGAAAACACGGAGAAGTTAACCACCACCGGACGCAGTTCCGTCTGGCCACGGCTGCCTCAAGAAATACTTGCATCGGTTCGGACACGCAGCGTCACTCCTCTGTCCGGAGTGTGGCAACGTGGATGAAACGCCGGATCATGTGGTCTGTAGGACTGTCCAAGGTGCGAGACAGTGCGAAGGGAGATGCCTGTCCTTAACGTGGCGAATGTCGTCGATGAAATGTGTGCAGAGGAAGGCACTTGGAATGGAGAGAGGAGCAGCGATCTAGCAAGCAACGCCAGCTAGCACTGAGAGTATGAGAAGTGCATGAGCACAGCCCCCTTGAAGTAGTCGCTTCAGCGTGGTCCCGGGGGGATCCAGGCAGAGGAGAGAGTAAGGAATGGGCTTTAGAGAGAGTAAGGTACTAGGCAACTAGTGGATACCACTCCGTGCCAACTTCAATACAGGTCTGGTTTTTTACCCCCCCCCCCCTCCCTCCCATTTTCTCTGCTACATATTTCATTATCGTCAAAGGAAAATTGATTCAATAATTCTAATTATTTGATGGTTTAGGAGAGTTTATACAAATAATAGCCATATGTATGACAAGGTGTGGTAAAACGCACCCCGGTCTTATATGACCAACAGCGTTTTTTCTCGTACTATTAAAAAACTAATTGATATAAACAATTTCCCAGATGACTCTTCTGCGGCTCTTCTAGTGATTATGGGTGAAACTCCATTAAATTTGTTCTGCAAAACACGTAAATAAGTGCTGTTGGGGTCATATTATCCCATATCACTCCGTACCCTATAAGAATTTCATTATTCTGTAATAATTTTCATCAAAAAAATAATAGGGTTTTTTTTCTTTGAGAAGGAGCTGATAAAATCGGGAAAGCACTGTATATGAAAATTTCTAGGAAATTTGGAAGAAACCTGAGGGATTACAAAGTGACGTAAACGCCACCAATGTTTGAAGATTGAAGTTCTTCAAAAATATCACGCAGGCAGAAACTACGTGTTTGGCCGGAAAAAAAACATTAACCTGGAAATTCAAAATATCCCATATGTACCAAAAAAAAACTGCGGTCCAACAAACTTGCCTCAGTGTCACCCAACCAAAGTAACAATTTTGGTTTTATGAGGGTTCTGTAGATCATGATTTAGACTTGTAGAATGCTTCAAAACCCCGATAAAACTTGCAATGTTACTTGGGAATTGGAGATTTTTTTGGAAATATGAGTTCGTTGGTGTACAAAAACAATTGGAGGGCCAAGAATTGTAATCAGCTGATAAACCGAATCAAAAGTTGCATTCGTAAAACCGATTTAAATGCTGTACAACGCTCATGTTCTCACATCATGACAAAGCTACGTCAAACAGCTGATAATGGATTTTATATCACTTTTTCTTTTCCAAACATTTGTTTTTTCATGAGCCCACATGAAAATTTTCAATTTTTTTGAGTTAACCCGTTATATTTACAAAAAATCTTCAACGAGATTGACGAGATGTCTTCACCGCTACTTTTGAAATTGATGGGCGACGGAAAGAGTTCAATATTTCAGTTTTATGAAACTGAGTATTCCAAGAAGTCAAGGGCAAATAAAAAATGAGAGAATTTTATTTAAAATTTCAGAGAACTTCGTAGAAACTCGAAGAATTTCATAAAAGTTGTAGTTCTTTCAAGGAACTTAATAGATTTTTAAAGAAACATTGTAGAACTTTCAAAAACTTTGTGATCATTATTTGAACTACGTAGAAGTTCTGAAAACTTTCTAGAAGTGCAGCAAGAAGAATTTCAGAGAATTCAGTGTTCACTCGGCTGTCGACAAAAGCAGGCCACTCTCGATGTGTGCCACGCGATCGTCTGTTTTCTCGGCAGCAACCATTGTGCGGTCCTCCTCATTGTTCTTCATCAGCAGTTCTTTTGGTCGATGTGTCGTCGACTTTGGAAAGCAACCGTTTAGTGATGAGTGTGTGAGTGCTGACCACGTTTTGCGTCCGTTGCTGCAATGGAAG